TTATGTTGTTATGTACATCTACTTGGTTACAGTTGGTCTTTGCTATTCAGATAATTCTAGAGGTGACATCCGGTATGGGGAAAGGGAGATAGGTCCCACACCAGGCAATAAGTCAATTGCAAATTCAATTTCCCTCTCTGGAGGAAAGTGCGGAATTTCATCCGGAAAGACATCCTCAAACTCAGAGACAATCGGAATAACAGAAATTGGCTCCTTGTTGACGCCAACCAGACCTCCCAATAAAACATACCCGGAATCTCCTTCCTTCAAGGCCTTTACCACCTGAAGTACAGACAAATAAGGAGACTCCATTTCTTCATCATGAGATGAGACATAAATGGTTTTACTGCAGCAGTCAATCTTCACACAGTACTTGGACAACCAATCCATCCCCAGAATTAAATTCACAGAAGCAAGGTGCAAGACAATAAAGTCGGCAGAATATTCCCTGCCTTCATACTTGAATTTCACATTTTCACAAACATAGTCTTCATTAAAAATGCCCAGGTTGGCCACATTTGTAACACAGTCTTTGCTCTTTTCTGCAAACCCCTGCATGAACTTTACCACATGTAGCACATAGAGAAGCAGGCTTAATATTTCCAGGCTTAGAATTTCCCGCCTTTTTGAACTTACCATCAGACTGTCTAACCTGCAACCCTTTTCCTTTAGAATTCCCAGAGGTGTTTTTAGGACCAGAATTAGGAGCAGATTGGTCCTTATGCTTCCTTCTGTAATATTCTTGAATATTTTTACACTTTTTAACAAGTGCAGCAAAAGTATCAAATGAGTCACCTGCAAGTTTTTCAGAGATGTTATCATGTAATCCTCTATGAAATTTAAAAATCAAGTCATCCTCTGTAGGTGGAGCTCTCTGGAAATGAGAGTATTTGGCCAGCTTATTGAACTTATTCAAGTATTCATCAATAGACATCTGACCCTGCTTTAGTTCTTCAAATTCACCCTTCTTCCTTATCCGGGCTTCAGCCGGAAAGTATTTCAGCAAGAATTGCCTTTTAAATAAAGGCCAGGTAATAGCATAACCCTGACATTCCAAGGGCAGACGGGTATTTCTCCACCAATCAGCTGCATCATTCTGCAACATATAAGAAGCATACAACAATTTCTGCTGATCATCACACTCCATGACAGTAAAAATGCGATCCAATTCTTCTAACCACTGAATTGCAGCAATAGGATCAATGCCTCCTTTATAATTTGGTGGTGCATGTTTTCGGAAGGCATTTAGCATTCTTTCTAACATAACACATCAATTAACATACATATAAACAGAAACAGCGGAAGACTTAACTTACAAAAATATGAGCTAACTTTTTCTTTTTCTAACTTAATTCTTACTCGGCGTAAACGAAAATCGGGCAGAGTTTCCTCTATAAATCGGACAACTGGGGATTTTCCAATCCCACTCAGAAGCATTTCCTGATAAACAGTTTATACAACATATCAATTCAGAAATGCCAGATATCCAAATATAATCAAATACCCATACATGGGCGCATGCATAACATGGCTCCGTGCCACTAAATCTAACAGCATGCCATCAAAACATAAACCTATCTGAATACTACATCATCATATAACGTTCCTGAATACTCAAATGTACATGCATCAAACTGATAGACATGTACAAAACATATACAGGCCATATACAAAATAAAGGATCAATATCATGATCCATCAAATGCGAAAATACTAAAATACATCAAACACTCCAAAAAGGTAGTAGCCTACAGCCACTCAAAATCCGGTCTGTCAACTGCCTCAGCCACGTGTCGTGTCCCTGCCTAGTGAGGACTCACCGGAAATCTGGGCCCCTGAAAATGTGTCCCCAAAGAGGGGTGAGATTACAAATCTCAATAAGCTCCAGGTTTATAGAGAATTCTCCATACCCCTGGCTCACTCCTGCATGAAATTCAGATACAGAGTATACAAATACAACATATAACAGATATCATAACAGAACAGAGCATATATCCATATCATATCAGAGATGTGCGCCGTCATTCCCAAGGGAGGACCCCAAGCGGAAATCAACGCACGTGTTCCCGAGGGAGGACCCCAAAGCGGAACCAGACATATCAGAGGAGTACACCATCAGTCCCGAGGGAGGACCCCAAAGCGGACGTCCGGGTACTATACAATCAATGGCCAGAGATTGTTACAGAAATCATATTACAGAAGTCATATCAGAGCAAAACATATCATGTTATCAAATAACTCTATATGAATGCATCTATACAAAGCATCTAAATCACAGTCATACAGTCCAACCATAGTTCACTAACCATGGTGGAGCACTCAAGTAGGAAAAGACTCCTTAAACATAGAGCTTACCTCTTGAAGCTTTACCAATACGCTTACTTGTGGAACAAGTTACTTTTATCGCTTCAAGAGATTTCCGATCCTTCTCAATCCCTAGGCACACCTAGAGAATAATTTACAATGCATCAATAAAATGATGCAATACCATGATTATTTCATAAGCATACATTTTATCGCTTATTTTCCTTTCTTTATATTTTTGCCAATTCTATGCCAATACACAAGTCTAGACCTCTATACACCCGTTGGCGTTCTTTAATTTAATCAAGCATTTACTTAAGAATCTTTCACATAAATCATGTTATTTTTCTTTAAAAGTCGCGGGCGTACCCTTAGGGACTCAAGGTATTTTTCAACCATTTGTCAAAGCATTTCACTTCTTAGCTCATCCATTGGTATATTAAAATGCAACCCATTTTATTAGAATAAAATGTAACCAATATATATATATACCCCTAAACATCCTATAGTTCGCAACATAGAGCAAGTATTTGTAGGATTTTTTTCTAACTTTGGCATTTCCACCAATTAATCCATTTACACTACATTCCAACATATTTTACCTTTTCAAACATACAATAAAAATTTGCATGATAAACCCTATATAAGCCATGAAGGCCGAAACCTAGGGGAAGAGTGCACTAGGGCTTTTCAATTTTTTTATCACAAATTAATGCTTACTAAACACTATCATTCCTATACAACAACAATCCATCATAATTTTCACCTTCTAACATCAAATATTTCCCACTCAAAACATGCTCCAAATTTTCAAAACATAGATCACAAAATAATACCATAGAAATAAAGGTTTCTTACCTCTAATCACTTGTACAAAGCCTAGAGAATAACCTCCAAGCAAAGCTCCATCAAAAACCCACTTTTTCTCCTCCTATGAATAGTAATCCGAAAATAAGAGGAGGAATAACTCTTCACACACTCAACTATAGCTCAAATGGATAGGTGCAATGGATTCCTTGAGTGGTTCCTAATCAATTTCAAGTGGTGGGTCATAAGATTTGGTTGAGAATTCAAGAAGAAATCAACAAAACAAGCAAAACCCTAACCCCCCCCTTTTCCATGGCTGAAGCTCGGCCCTTCAAGAGAGAGAAGAAGAAATTTTTGCAATGAATAGTGATTCATTTAAGTGGCCAAGCTATTTAGGCACATGTGGCCCTTTTGTCGGATGTTTTTCTATCGCGTATTTCACTTAAATTTACCGGAAACTTAACTTAAAGCTACGGATATATTTTTATTTTTCTAAAGTTATTTAAATTAATTTTTATTTCCTAAGGAACAATATTCATAATTCACAGTATGGTTTTTGCACCGTTTTTAACGAAATGCACTGTGAACCACTAACTGTACTTTATTTAATTCTGAAACTTAACACTTATAAACTTATCATTTTCTTGGGCCTATATTGACTCGCTTGGCATATATTGGACTTTCTTATTCTTATTTCATCAATTATTTATTTCTGGACTCTACCGGTTGCTTAAACAGCAGTACAAAATACCCGGTAGAAACACTATTCACGAGATTTTCACGGAAAGTGCCAGACTATACAATTTTTCGTTCTGAACTCATATTTGTCATCAGAATTTTCAAATTATGTTCCTAAAATTATTTTGCTCATTTTAAGCTCTACCGGTTAATTCACAAAACTGTAAATTCTCCGGCAGAACGCACTGTTCATAACATAGTCATGATTACAGTCAAAATACTCGAAATCGCTCACTGAATCTAATTATGGCATTTAAATCCTTAAATTAAATCTCTAACTAAGATTTACCAGTTAGGGTCATTATAGTTTCTTTCCACCTCTTCATTTTTTGTAATAATAATTGGCTACAAGTTTTTGTGTCTATTAAAACTTAAAACAACTTCCATATTTTAAAAAGCCAAAATGACTTTTCCTTTTTCCCAGGAATTTGGAATATGTTAAAACGTGCCATTAAGTAACTTTTTCGTCCTCAAAAAGCCAAGACTTTCTTGATTACCAATAATCACTGTTTACCAGATGTTACAACAAATAAACTACATTCATTTCCAATCCTACAACTAACACTGCTTTTTTTTTTTTTATCTGCAACATTCACCTTCATATTACACACTTTTTCTTCTCCATTTTTTTAGATTTAATATGATCTTCACACAACATAGTCCACCTTATATACCAGCCAGTTTCCCCAACCTATTTCTCAAGATCTTCAGTCCCATGTACCTGTCACCAACATAAATAGATTATTCACATGCAATTGTCGGTATCATAACTATAGATTTTATCCAAAAACATGTTTATTCAGTGTTATGATCCCTATGTGCATACCTGCCCATCATCATCACAGTGGCTTGAGGATTAGTTCCTGGTGATTCAGTAAATGTTGAGCCATCTATTACACGGAGTCTGTCAACCCCAAGAACCTTATAATCAGGGCTAACTACCTTCCCCACATGGCACCCACCATGGAAGTGCCAAATTGTGATCACAGTGTCTTTGCAGAACTGCTCTAGTGACTCTGTGTCATTGGCATGCTTAGGTATGAAGTTGACATTAGCCTTCACAGAGAGGTTAAGCAGTTTCTCTGTGGTTTGTTTCTCACACAAAGTGTAGTTTGTGAAGTGTTCTGACTGAACTACCTTAATTGCCAAGCGGATTCCTTCAACACAGCGCTGAAGATCATATGGATGACTGAAGTAGTTGAAGGTAACTGAAGGATTGTCCTTCACATTGGTGTTGATCAACTTGAGTTCACCTGCTGACCAAGCATTTGCAACTTTTGACAAGATAAAGCCTCCTCTAAATGCTTCAATTGGTATGTCTTTCTTGTTCTTGATAAAAGCTTGAATAGCTTCTGGTGATCTTTGCTTAGGAGGAATTGTGGAGAGCTGCCCAATCTGGTTTATCATGTTAAAAATGAAAAATGAGAATAACATATTGTAACAGTATTTTTTGGTTATGTTTGATATACTAAATGTTATGTATGTGGCATTTGGACACTACACTAATATTATGAGAAATGACATACATTGTAACATCTAATTTTTAATGATTTCAATGTTTGTAAATGGCAAAAGTATTTCTGCAGCTGCGACAAAAATACTTTGTTTGTAAAATATTTACCAGAATCCGATGTCGGATCTTGGTCTTTTTTTTTTTAAATAAAAATAAAATGGAACCCTTTGTAAATTTAGGGAAATATTATTGCATACCTCAGCTGACATGATACCATGGTGGCAGTGAATGCTGTCACTGGACTGACTAAACCCACTGCTAGCCTCAATGTACACACCCAACTTGGTGATACCCACAGTTTGTATGAGTGTGTGATTAACTGTCCTATTAGAAGGAACAAAAACTGTGTTCATGGGATTATCTACCATTCCCTTCCCAACAAATGGGTTGTCAAGGACTACTGAGATGTTCAAGTTCTGGAGTTCTGCTTTTGGTCCAATTCCACTAAGCATTAGCAACTGAGGAGTCCCAATTGCCCCACTAGAAACTATCACTTCACAATGCCTATCATTTCCCAGAATTGCCTCATGCTGTTTACCATTTTCATCCTGGAAAATAACCCCAACAGCTTTTGGTCTTTTTCCTGCAACAGTAGCAATACCTATTTCAGTTCAAAGGCCTAAACTGCCATAACATTTTGAGGTAATAATAACTCTTTGAAACTTAAAGTATCTTATGTGTACCTCTTGTATCAAAAACAATCTTTTGGACAGTGGCATAGATCAAAACAGTAAGTTTGTCACGGTTTCCAGAAGCAAGCAATTCAGCAGTTGTGTGGCGACGGCCAAATCTGTCAAAAATGGTTCCACCAATCTTGGTTCCATAGATATGATCATAGGTGAAACCATTAAAAGGAGACACTCCAGAATCTAGAAGACTGTCCCTCACTGCTCTCTGATAAGCTGAATACTTTGGACGGTGAACAATTTGCTTTTCAACCCATTGGTAAGACTGATTTACTAGCTTGGCTTCCCACCCCACCTTCTGTATAAAGCTACATTCCATAGAAAAAGTTTTAACAGAAGACATGTTTGAGATAAATGTTCTAGAGGGGTATGATTATTACTAGATTGTCAATTTTAGTTGAACACTGTCACATTTAGGGGATGCATGCATAATTTGAATGTTAATTCGTATGATGTTTCTTTCTTTCTTAATTTCTTAGCTTTTTTTAGACCAAAATCACTATCACTGATGTCTCGTTTTATGGCTTGAAGTCTTAAATTATATTTTGCAAATCTTGGCGTTTTGTAATGGACCACATTTTTTCAAACATCGTTATCAAATATAATAAATACAGCCAGACACTTAATAAAGTTATAGCTCAGTTTGGTTTTATACTAGACAATTTGATGAATGAAATGTCTTAATAAAAATAAAGAAAAAAAAATAGAATATAGAAAGAAACTCATAGGAAACTATCTAAGAAGCATTCAATATCATTCATTAACAATTTAAAGAAAAATCTATCTTTTCACCAAAAAAAGAAAAAGAAAAATCTATCTTAGCTCCTTAATAGGAGAGTCGTTTACAAATGTCATAAACTAATTAAGAAAGTTAATAAAATGTTGAGAAAAAAATGTTAGGAACTGATACTAGTCTATATTTGGAGGAACATCTACCTGAGTAGTTTCAGTTGATAGAAAAGTACATGAAAATATGATTTGGCAATTAATAAATTTAATGAAATTTTGTTACAAATTATAAAATAGCCATGTGATGTATGATTTTGCTATCAGCTCATTCAAGCCATTTTTTTTTGGTCAAACACCGAAAAATATTTAAAAGAAACTTGGCACTTTGCTCCGAAAAGAATAGGGCGAATAACCCAAAATGCCCTCTATTTAATGGCAAAGACCAAGACCGTGGGTCAAGTCAAGCCACTACCAACTATCAAATTAATAATTACGTAACTATTTGTGAAAATTCTAAAGAAAAAAAGTATTTTTTTAAAAATATATATATATAATAATAATAATAATTGATGTTACATGCAATCTAATAATTGTCCAAATTCGCTGTCAGTTTTATTTATTTTAATGTTGTTATAGATTTATATATAAATACTAATTAAACCTTAGATAAAATTAGAGGTAAGTCTAATAGTGTAAAGTAGAAATATAATTTTTTTACAAATTTTAATGTGAAATATTACCCAACTATTTGCAGGGTAAATCTACATCTATAAAGTTATTGATTTTTGTGTGTATGTAATACTAGATTTTATGTTAAATTATATAAAATATAATTATGTAGATTTTAAAATAAATAAATAATAGAAAATAATTTTTTTTTTATAAGAAAACGGAGATATATAAATTAGAGATACCTATGGAGGAAAGTGGAGGTTAGATGCTAGCTATGGTAACAGGGTTTTCGGTGGTTGTGTTGTTCCTAAGATGGACCAGACATCTAAAAGAGCACCTTAATGACTTTCACCAAATATGAAGGTTTCCTAGTAACAATTGAATGTCCTGTTTTCTTTCCCTTTCCTCATATCTGACACTCCCACCTAATCACTTCCATGACATAAAATAGTGTTACAAAGGACCACAAACAGCATTTAATTGTTGAAAAGATAATTTCATATAAGAAAAAATGTAGCCATAAATGTCATGAATATGAAGGGGTTACCATCAATTATTTCATTATGAATAGCTTTAATCAATCAATTCTCAATAGTCTAACATTTTTTTTTTCTATAAACATTTTCTTGCCCCTTTTTTCCTACTTGTCATGCTTCTGGTATTGGCACATAACTATTTCCTTAATGTATTAATTAAGTAGGTAATATATCAACATCTAAATTCTTCATAGAAAGGACTGCATAACTGTTTTCAAGACTAAACTTAGCCTCATGTAGATTTCCTTAAAAAAAATGCATACAATAATTCAACAGCCAAAGGCCAAAAACTATAGATAACGAGAGAGAAAAATGGGCACTAATGTATATGACATAGTGGGACATATAAGCTAACAAAAGGATGTGAAATGTAAGTACATGATTAATAGGATACGATGTTATTGCACGTCCTATGCACGTGAAGCTGTGTACCATTTTATAATTTCAATTTCAAGTGTTAGAAGGGTACGTGTATCAAGAGTGGGGAAAATGGGGAAATGTTATAAGGTTTCAAATTTCATACTAGGAACTTTGACTGGAGTTGAAGATTTCCCATGTGGGTGCATTTAACTTCTACCAAACTATTAATTAGATTGTTATTTTATAAAAACTGAAAATTAATGATTCATCTGTTAGTTTTGCATAAGAATTTTATATGAAAATATTTCAATAATTATTCACTACAATTTTAAAATTTTAGTAAATGGATCATTGTTCTTCAATTCCTAATCTTTTCAAATATGGCATGAGAAGTGGATTAATGTAATATATATATATATATATATATATATATGTATGTGTGGGTGTCATTTCATCATTTTAAATTTTTAATTGTTAAACCAAAAAGAGATGACAACAAACCTCTAACTTAATTAATGTAAATTTAAGCCTTTAATATTTAAGTGTAGTGATTGTATGAAAAGTATATTTAAATTTTTATTAAGCTACTCATTCCACTTGTAAAATCCATGCTTGTACCTCAAATGTATTAGAGAGAGACTCAAAGTAAATACCTTGCAATATATATATATATATATATATATATATATATATATATATATATATATATATGGGCTTATCGTTTCTCAAGCTGCTTGAGATAATCTTATCTCCAGCTAGTAATCATAACCGTACAAAGATGGATCAATGGTGATAAAGGAAGAGAGGGAAAAAGGGAATCATAACCATTCAAAGCTGAATCAATTAATATAAGGAAATAAATAAATAAAACGACGTAGTTTTGGGGTCACCGAGAAATGTTTTTCCCTATATATATATATACGAGACAAGTTATATTTACAAACTTTTTTGTTTACAAACTACACTATGTTCTCTCAGAAGAATATAATATAATTTGTAAAAAATTTCAAAAAAAATTTGTAAACGGATCATTATATATATATATATATATATATATATATATATATATATATATATATATATATATATATATATATATAATCAACATTTGATCTTAGCTAATATATAAAATTTAAGCACATAGCCAGTTTTATTTTCTTCCCTTGAAAATAATTTTCCTATAGACATCCAAGAAGTTGTTGGAACTTTAATAACATCCTTCACGTGCAAATTCATTAGTCGTATAGGCCACGTAGGTCAACTTTAATAGAAGTAAATAGTTATAAGGTAACATTAAATGAATAATTTTTAGACAAATAAAAAATACATTTAATTTTAGAATTATTAAATATTATGTAAGTCTATGTTAAAACGTGCGGATAAGAACATTCAAAAAAATATTTGATAATAAATAGAAATGTAACTTTTTGTAAATTGTATGTAATGACTTAATAAAAAAAAAAGGACTAATAATTAATACATCCAGATCATATATTGCATCCCTCAACTACATGCAATGTATTCCACGAGAAAAGGAATAATAAAAAGGGAATAACATATTCTAGAAAAAAAAAATGGAGATTTCAATCAAAAATAATTTTGCATCATTAAGAAAAAAAAATGAAAATCAAAAAGTAAACAAGGAAAGAAAAAAGAAGAAAAATTATAAAGAAGAGGCATGAGTGAACGAAGAAGATAGAATAACAAAACAAAAGCAAGCTAGCTTGTGTGAAGCCTTACCTTTGGCTTGCTCTAGTATAGAAGCCAGCATTGATAGAACTACCACCACCCAAAACCCTTCCTCTTGCATTGTAAACTCCATCTGTTGAAATGAAGTATTGAGAAGCTGAAGTTGGAGAAGTGTCAGCTAAGGTAATGTGGAAGTTCTCTAGAAATGTAACATTGGGATTGGAGAAAGGAACACCCCCTCTTTCTAGCAGCAGAACACTGAAGTTTTGAGAGAGGGTTGCAGCCAAAGGACACCCTGCTGTGCCACCTCCCACTATTATGTAGTCATAGCCATTATTGCTGGAGGTAGTTGAAATTGATGGTGATGAGAATGAGCTTGCATGTTTGATAAAAGGATAGCTTTCATGCCAGTTCTGCTTACCTGCAATGAAATGTGCTTGTCAAATTTCAGTCTCATCTTGACTAGTTTAAGTACATTTTCAATACATTATTAATGCTATTAACTTTTTAGAGTTTAAGACCCCTCCTACACAAAAAAAAGTAGTACATTTTTAATTGAAATGAAAAGCAAGCAAATATATGTGAATAATGATCATGATCAACAAAACAGATTAAACTAGCAAATATGTGCTATAAATTCAAGAACTAGCAAATTGAGTATTTGTCTGTGATCTAGCCATATATGTGCTCTTGAAGTGAAGCTCTATATGAAGGTAGAAGAAACCAGAACCACACTGGCTACATATTTCACAAGATTCTTTGAGATAGATTGGTGCATCATACTACATTTACAAATTCCTATCTGTATAGCAAATTGCCAGAATCACAGGTAGAACCCAGATTCCATTAGTTAAAAAATTGAGAAGCCAATTAAAGGACACTGAAAGATAGAGAAGAATTTAGCCTTGAAAATAGAGAAGTCCTCCTATATATCTATAATAGAAAATGATCTTTATCTAGAGATAACAATCTTGAAAATACAAGCTGAACTGAATAAGGTAGAAACCTTGACAAGGAGGTAGAAAGTTCCAGAGCCATAGAACTAAGCACAAGATTTTCACTGCACCAACTGAAGCCATGGAATCTCACAGGCCAGAAAAAGCACTCACTGAAGAAGCTGTTTCTTTCCAACCTATAAGTGGCTGCCTCTGGTTGGCCTTGTTTTGTGTGCACATCATATAAATACTCAAAAATACATCATAACCGTATCTATCAAGATTAATGTAACAAAATCTATTAGTTAATATGAGAAATGAGAAAGAAAAAACTAAATAAAGAACATACTAACATAGAATGGTGCTTTCCACTACCACTATATTTAAGAAACACTGGAAACTATAACTGAATAAGACATTTAATGAGGAAATGAATGCCGCGGTTAGAGTGAAGATTCATCAGCCGTTGGATTTGACATTGTCTTTTTCTGATCATGTCCATCTGTTTGTACAAAGACAGCTCATTCATCAGACTACACAATGAGTTGTTAAGATGTATAATGTATATTTTATATGCTACAAAAAATAGGCAATTTATTTTCTTTCTTTTGTTTTTTCTCCTTTCTTGTGGATGATTAGATTAGAAAGCACCGCTTGGATTTTTCTCCTTCAACTGTCCCTGGTACTTGACTTAGCAGTCATTAATAGCAACATTCATAGTCAGCACCTACGACCATAATGAAAATAAATTAGAAAAGAAAACAAGTATTTTGTGCAATTTATGGTATGACAAGAAAAAGAATTTTTTTTTAGTTTTCATTGTTTTCTTCTGAATTCATTCCAATATAAATATATGTGTTATTGTTTGGTGATTCTAGCTATTTATCTTGTTGATTGGTTATCATGGCAATAGAAGTCAATGGGAGAGTTGAGGAGACAATTGAATGATACATTTTATTGGTTTATCTAATTGGATCATGCATGCATTTGAAATTACTAACCCCTTTAATTAGGTGATAAACTTTGTGGTGTCAATGAACCAACGCCAAGCAACTGATTCTGCGGTTTGTGGGGTAAAAGATTTTTGGAGTCAAGATGAATGAAATGACACACACGAACACAAGAGACAAGAACAATCATGCAAATTTTGCAGAACAGTATTTAACTCATAACATAATAAATATATAGATATAATCAATTATTTATAATCTCTTTGGTTCTTTATGACGTATAATGAGTCTACTATAAGCATAAGAGTCCAAAACCGCTAAAATATTTATGACTTATATTGTCTGATTTATCTAGAAATCCAAATATTCATCTGAAGACTTAGGGATCTGTTTGCACTTATTTCAGCTTAAGAAACCGAAGCCAACTCTTTGTCCTAGCCACCTCAACAGAGAGTTGAAAAAAAGAAAAAAGTAAAAGACATATAAAACAAAATGGTAAGGAAAAGATGAGATCATGATAGTAATTCAAGAGACAAGAGTTGGCAATACGTGGCTGAATCCATTTATTTCATCACTTGGCAAAGCCAAATGTGATTTAATGTTAACAATGAATCACTTCTATATCATTGACAACCTAGAATCATTTATTTGCACATGCAAGTATGACATAAATATGCATATCCTTTTTCTTTTCTTTCATTTCTTTAAAAGCTCAAAGTTGAACAATTGCTGCTATAAGCTCTGAACCTAATTTTATGGCATTTGATCCTTCCTATGCCAAAATTAGAAGTAGAAGCCCCACCCTCCCATGAATGACACCTTACTTGGATGTTCCAAGCTTCCCATGCTTAGCTGTACTGTCTATCCACTTCTTCCAATGTACTATTCCTCTGCTTCAAGTGCTTTAAAGAGGACGTCAAAAGTTTGTAATTAACTACAACTAATATGAAGCTTATCATGGCAATTTGGTAGGCAGATAAGTAAATGTATCACTATTTCACCAATTTTTTTTGAAATCCCATTACTTATGTCAAGAGAAGTATAAAAATAATCAATGTAGCCTCATCTAACAGCTTAAACTTTTGAATTGAATTGATTTATTATATGGTATCAGAGTTTCGATATCACATGTTCGATTCTTATCGTCCCCTATTTAATTAATAATTAATTATATCTTGTGGAGTTTCTTAGCACATGTAAGCTAGGTAGCACCGATACGACACGCGACACGTGACACGACACTCTGACACGTCAATCCTAAGAAATTATGGATTTCGACACGTTGCGACACGTTTTAATATTAAATAATATTTTTAATTTATATGGGGTATATTTCATTTAATATTTAATAATTTAACAAAAAAATGAAATTGAATTAATAATACCCATCAATACGTTATAAAGATGGAAGCTTTAATCAAAAAAATAAGAACTGGGATGAGAGAGAGATATAATATCAGATAGAGAGATCAAATCATATTAGAGAGAGATCAGAGAGAAGAAGATACAACAAGAGCGTGATAGGAATTGATAACAATGATGCTGAGATGATCTCTTATCTACTTAAGGGAAAAAAAGACAAAAAGATAAAATTGATATGATCAGGTTGAAGCTTTATTAATATATTTTAACTTTTTAAAAAAAATTATTTTTTTTGAAAAAAAAAAAAAAAAATTACGAAAATGTCATTTGACCGTGTCGGACACGGTCAAATTCGCGTGTCGGAATGGTCAACGTGTCGGAAAAAGTCAACCGCGTGTCCGACACCGTGTCGGAGCGTGTCGCCGTGTCGGAGCGTGTCGGACCCGACTCTTCCTGTTTTTACAAGTGTTCGTGCTTCCTTGCATGTAGGTGGGTCTATATATTATCTATCTTTCAAGCCTAGTGAGTTCTTATGTGAGTGTGAGGGGGTGTGTTAGAAAAATATAAAAACTATTAATATAGTCTCACCTAACTACTTAAAATTTTGGATTGAATGGATTTTTTAGAACTTATATCCTCCAAGGTCAAATATTCATGAATTTAATTCAACTTACACAATCATTCCTTTGAATTTGAGTTACTATCAATAATAATAATAATACATATTGACTTTTTTTATAAATTTTCCTTAACTTTTTATCATTAGTTATTGAATAACAACTGAACTTAGGACTTCATAATAACTTCACTTAAACATTCAGTAAACTGCCCAAACACTACATGTATTTGTGCAACTGTCATTTTCTTTTTTTACAGCTATTCAGCACCTGTGCTGTGGCACATTACAAAGGACTTCATATTGTCACAGTTATTATGCATTATAACTTAGGCAGGTGTTAGCAGATTTATGACAGTGGCAGTTCGTCCTTGATCAAAGTAACAATATAAACATAAATGCTGATGAGGCTCATCAGTGTCAGTAATATTGAATCATAGAGAAAAGAAAAGAAGGTGCATATTATTCTGCCTAATAAATTATCAATTGGATGTGTTTTGTTAAAAATAGATGATTTCAGGAAAGCTTAAGGCAAAAGTTTAAGTGTTTGGATTAACTTAATTTATATTTAAAATAATTTATAATTAAAAATTTAATGAAAAATAAAAAAACACAACTCATGTTATTTAAAGATATGCTTGGGGCAGGTCTAACACATTATGTGAGTGTATTGTAATTAGCTTTGTCTTATATTTACAAATAGTTAATTATATGAGTCAAATGTTAGTTGCCAACTTGCCACATACTAAAAGTTGTGTAATGGAATTTAAGCTAATCCAAATAGTAGGGAGGTATTTTTGGCTTTTTCACCCTTTTGCCCCTTATTAATTAATTAATAATCATTTTGTCCCTGATTTAAAACTATCTATCAATCTGTCCCTCTTTAATCGACTACCTTGCATTTTTAATCGACTAAACGATTGTTGAGAGATTTAATCGACTAAATCTCCCTACTTAATCGATTACAATCATACTGACTTATTTTTTTTTTTGGTCAAATATGAAGATTTAGTCGACTAAATAAGGAGATTTAGTCGACTAAATCTCCCAGCAGCCATTTTTTGTCTGTTTTGGCCATTTAGTCGATTAAAAATGCAAGGTAGTCGACTAAAGAGGGGCAGATTGATAAATAGTTTCGAATCAGAGGCAAAATAGTTATTAATTAATTAATAAGGGGCAAAAGGGTGAAAAAGCCGGTATTCTTACTACCAAAATTTTTCACTACATATCTAATTACCATTGGATCAGCATTTTTTCTCTCTTTGAAAATTTTTCAATATTTTTTCTCCCTTATTCAATGGTGATTAGATAAATAGTAAGTTGGTAGTGAAATTTTTTGATAATAAGAATATTCTCACTCATCCAAATATGCTGAAAAACAAACTAACTTTCCCTAAAAATTAATCTAATCCAAAAATGCTATAATCTTGAGAAGAGCTTTGACGAAAATATGATACAAGCTTATCTATCAAATGCTAATGGTGGTTGAAATGAATCTTAATATGTTAATGAATTCAATTGTTTTACTTAAATATTGTTAGAATGGGAATGGCAAAACAGCTCTCTTATAATTAGTCCATGTGGTTGTTTTAAGTTTTAATTTCATCCTTCATCAACTTTGCCATTTTGATCTACTGGTTATATTTAAGATGCCTCCGGTTGTTGCTAAACAAACCACAATGTAGAGCTATTATATCTATTTCTAATTGGTGTAAATGAAAAACCAAATTATAAAAACTAAATTCGCAATCAAAACATAAAAACAATTTACACCGTGATTATCCCAACAACAAAAAAAATAGTACACTGTTACTTAAAGTCCTAAGGTAAAAAATTTCCAGCCTCAAATACAGCTGTAGACAATTAGACATCAAATGAAAGTTCTCAACTACTTTTGAGGAGATCAAAACCTGACCATGTATGTAACTTTCATATTTTAATTCCAGTTCAACAATTCAAACAGTCACTTAAACTTCTTGGGGAAACGAACTTAATCGAAAAAGGGAAGAATAAAAATGGGAAGAATGACCATTTTGTTTGGAGATATTATTATATTTGATTCTCTCTAATTGAGATTATGTTTTTCATTGTTTGGGAATAATAAAAATGCGGGGAAATAAAACATTTAATAAAGTTTCTTGAAAAAGAAATAATCATAAGTCCTTAAATGAAATTTATTACTTAAACGAAATAACGAATGCATGCCTAAATTATAAAAGAAAAAGAAAAATCGTATCTACAGTTAATTTTTCCTTCACTTTAACTTCAGTTCGTGACTTCGTGAGAATGATTATCTACACTTGAACTAATGAATTCTTTGTTCTATTTTTTATTTATTTGTATTAAAACAAGGAAACAGTAGATTCCTACATTATCAATCAATCCAAACAAACTATTTTCGTCACAACCAAATGAACGGTTTTAAGCAAGGAACTATGATGGACCCATATTTTGCGTTGGTTCAATGAGAAGTAGCTTTTATATAATTAAAAACAGAGAGAAAGAAAAGAGGCAAAAGGGAAAGAGAGAGAAAGAAAAGAGGCAGGGGGGGTTCTGGACCACAAATATTATTTCCATTTGACTGAAAAATACGTTCGTAAAATCAAAATTTCTGAAATCATAAATCTACGAAGACCCACTTCATAAAGACTAAATTATTTCGATCCGTATTTAACAAAATCCTAAAAAAAATACAATAAAGTAATATAGTTGATGTTGACATTTGGTAGAAAACACATTAACGATTTTTTACTGATTAATTTTCTTAACAATGTACATATATGTTTCAAACTTATTTTGGAAAGATTAATTTTTTTTAAAAATAAAAATAAAAATCTTCCAACAAGTTGACAAAATAAATATTAAAAAAAAAACTCAAAATAAACTGATTCAAACATGAATTAAGATGATCTTCACATAGCATGTCAACAAAACATTATTGGTCATTGTTAAAGCATCAAAATAAAAAGTCCTGAAAATTATTTTTTTTATTTTTTTTATTTTTTTTTGGAAAACGAAATTTTAATTTGATTAGACGGTAGGCATGCTAAACATCCAAGAAAGAGAAGTAAACAATCTCCGATCTTTCAACACCATGTTACACGTGAATCAATAGTTCGCATTACAAGAAGCAAACACGATCTTACATGTAACTTCCACAAGCCTCTAGTATATCATAAAAATCTAATATAAATACACGAGTCCAATTAATAAATTTTCAAAAAAAAATACACTCAGAAACACTGATAAAAATTACAAACAAAATTGATCGCAAAACCAGCATAACCATCAAAGACCATGTAAAATAAGCTAACTTCTCCAACTAACTGAAGCACCTAAATTGGAAATATTTTAAGGGGGACCACCTCGGAACAAAACATTGCCCCCTCCCTGTATTCGGCACTTGCACAAAAACCAATGCCTCTGAATGTCATGAATGCTAACATGTCATAAATTCGTGGACAAGCAAAAACCCAGCATGCCGCCAGCAGACAACACCATCTTCCAAAAAAAGAAATTGCTCTTCAGTAAGATGACTTTCTTCACCTACTCATCTTTTGATGAACTGGCATATTCGGTTCCATTGTCCAATGAAGATACGTTAGATGAAGCACTAGATGAGACAGCACTACCAGCAGTAACAGCATTGTAATTGTTTATTGATGGGTTTCTCTGAGGATTGTTAGTTGCAGGGTTCTGTCCCTCCTCTGCTAGTCTTTTGATAAGATTCATGATAGTTGGAACAAACTTGCTAGACAAGGATATGATTCCCGGAAGCTGAAAGCCAAAAGGTAAGAAATAAGGCTACTATATTAGATACTGCAAAATATAGAATGATTAGTTGACAAGACCCAGATGACTCGGTTAAAGAACTACTAATGCATCAACACTAGAACCCTACTGAATGCATAGTAGCTTATTAGCTGAAACTGGTTACAGATCGAAACCAAACAAACAGGCAAGAGAAACACAATTTATGAATATCGGGATAGAACAATAAATATAAAGATCATAATAAATTACACTCACGGCTCCATTGCGAAATTCACCCGAAATGTCAAGCTGCACCCACAGGGCTTTAATGAGAAGAAAACCAACAAAGATGACACCCAAATACAAGGGATTTCTGCCACAGAAAATACCAAACTTGGGTAAGACCAATTAAATAGTACAACAAAAGTGAAGAGTTTTCTTTAATTTTGTGCTTTGAGCAACATATTTATGTTAATAGAATGCCCATCCACTACTTTATGTCCAACACGTAGAATACATTCTTATTTTACAATTACTACTTTTACACTTTGCAGCTACCAGACGAGAGAGATGCAGAGTTAAGAACAAGTGAAAACAAAAGAAAAAAAGAAAAAAAGCAAGAAAATAGACATCAGATGAGTGAAGCTGATATGCACCTTAGAAGTGTCATAAATTCATTAAATCCCAGAATAACCAAAGCAACAATTGCCCATGGGGGAGGTAACCAGTTGTTACTACGCTTGTTGGCCTCCTGAAGAAATAAAATAGAATTACATCAGTAAGTAAAAAATAGTATAACATTTACCTGCGAGAACAAACTTCAAATGCCTTCAGAATATATACATTCATAATGCTTATCAAACTAATTATATCAGCTAGCTAGCAAATGCATTGACTGCATATGGAACCTAAACACTACCACAAAAGAGCAAAATCATTTGGACAATGCCAAAAACTTTATAAATACAAGCAACATACAACATGAAAACATAAAAGCATAGCCATGCCTCATTCCTTTAAAACAATTAAACTAGATGGCTTCAGTTACAAGTTTAAAATAGATAATATACAAAAGAAAGGCATAGAATTTAATTAACATTAAATTTGTCATAATAGATTTTCCATTTTTCCAATTTATATAGAAGATATTTATTTTTATTTTTTTGATAACAATATAGAAGATATTTTAAATCATTAAGAAATGTGAAACATCGTGCCTGTGCAGAAATGGCTTGAGAGACACTGTACTCTGTCTCTGTCTTGAATTGCCTCCACAAAGATTTACATTGAACAGGGGTAATCAGTGTTTTAGAGGATGGAACCTACACAGAAAATTCAGTCACAACAAATGATCAGTGACCAGGATAGAAAAATATTCTCAAACCATCACACAAGGAACAAAAAATAACATTTTTGTGGCCTAAAATATATATTAATCAATTTCAACCCTGATAGAGATATATTCATTCTGGGGCAATCAGATCATTAATTGATGTCAATCAGATCACTCATCTACCAAAATGAGTACACAATTAAATACTTCTTCAAACAGAACTAGCAACAATAAAAATGCACCTGTTCCCAACTGCTAGAAGCTAGCGGATCAACTGTTGTGATGCTCCTATTAACAGCACTGCTTGATGAATCCACCAATGCAACTGCTAATGTTTTCTCGATATTATCAGTATCATCATCATCCAAACGAATTGCAGCCATAACAGATAGCAACTTCAAAGACTGCAAAGGGTTAAATTTGGTCAAGAAGATAACAAAATGTAATACAAACTCAGTAACAAAATAATGTTCATAATCGTGTCATACAGCAGAGCGAGCAGTCTTGGTGATGGCTCGAATATCTTCTTTCCCCGTCCAAACACGAGGCATTGAATCAGAATCATGGTTAAACAGCATCGTAAACCTGCTTTCAAATTTAACGTAAGTAGGAGCCTCTAAAGTAAGACTTGAAGGAAAAAGTAAAAGTCACCATGGATGTTGAAGAAGGTTCATACTTCTCCTTCATACGAATTAGAACTCTTCCAGCTTCTTCCCTAGACTTTCCTTCTACCAGACCCCTTGCATAATCCTCTAAACTCAAAATCATTTTCTGTCTTGTTTCTTCATCCATATCAAACCCAGTAAGCGCAGCAGAGAACCCCGAAACAGCTGATTTAGTCTCACGACTAAGAAGGTTCCTTATTGATGGCCAAGTATCACTATTAGCTCCATCCAAAAGAGCTTCAACAGGGCCAGACAAAGCTTCTTTCAGTTTTGCCTGCAATCAGAAAACTTCCCAAGAAGTTAGTATTTCAACTTAAGAAACAAACCAACAGACTCAACTCAACAAACACTGATAAACTACTTACCTAAATCACCAGTCATTCAGCATGAGAAGTATCTTATACTTTTTGACTAGCTATTATTAATCAAAAAAGGTATTGACAACATACAATTGTATCAATCTATCCCTTTCTCCTTTATGACTGTATTGCTAGCGGACACTCTTGCTTAGTTTTAATCTCACATTACCACTCTAAAAATTTCAACATTTGATTTTTGGCACAAAATATGAAATTTTAGCATTGTTACTGAGCTTGAAGACAATCAATTACAGATTCACAAGACATGAATGATCACTGCTTCGTACCTCATATGATGCAGTAAGTTCAGAAATCTTAGCTGCACATACAGATGCAACATGTGCATCCATATCACGCTGCAGATTCTCCCGTACTTTAGTTGTATCCCAATTTGTTTGCTCAATAAGAACATCTGCTACGATAACATATCAGTTTCATGTTGTAATTCAGTTGAGTAAAATAGATGTATACTTGCAACAAATATTATCAAGTTTAACTTCTCGGATAGCAGATCATTGGAATGAACCAAACCCGAGCGACTCTGCTCCCAACACCAAATTAATCATGGTAAAGAATCCACTTCCTGTTTATCCATATGCTCTTTTTCTCCCTTTCCAAGTGTTCATTATATTTATTGGGCCTTCAATTTATTGTTCACTAATACACAGAAAAAAGAAACTTTTTATTACCTGCACATGCTTCATCAAATTGAGCCATACAAGACCCAATGCAATTATTAGCAGAAGCAGAAAACTCTTCCCCTCCATTCAAAGCCTTGTCAAATACCTCCTTGAATTTATCCAAAGTTCCAGATCTTATATGTCCCAGAGCAGATTGGAATGCTGGTTGGACAAGCTAACCAATTGAAAAGGTGTTAAATACCATTATATAAACCTCACTAATCATCATCGTAAATCTACAAAAGCTTCTAAAGGGAAAAGAAACAAGGCCAATAATCCAGTATCTAAAATAGTTATTCTTGATTAAATATTCATTAATTCATTTATGTTTCAACTTTCAACATTAACATCACCTTTATCCCAAATTCAATTCATTTATGTTTATAAAATAAAATAAAATAAAATAAAGGTTTGAACAACCATGACTACAGAAGAGCCAAGTTAAGAAGAATTACTTGAAACAATTTTTCTTGAAGTTGTTTTCGTTTTGCAGATCTCACAGCTTCATCAAAATAAGTGGCCTCAGCATCATACCTAGATTAAAGAAAATGCAATAGCTCAATATACCTTCAGTCAAGATCAACTCATTCTTACATGATGTAACATGTAACATTAAGATAGCAAACTTTTTAAGATTCAATATCAAGCTACAGTTTACTTGAAGATTACACATAAAATCGCAGCAACAAAACTGGGCTTTTTTGTATATACAAAATTAATGAGGTAATCTAATAAAAAAAAGTTTAATGAGGTAAAAAAACCATGACACCATTTTCAGAGTTTGTGTAGGGATTGTAAATGAAACCTGAAAACATTAGATGGTATTACTGTGTAACACAGGAAACTACCAAAATTTAAGACTCGAGAATAAAATAAGGGATTAGTGTTTATCCTTTTAAAGAACATAGAAATGTGTCATTTTAGTCAAAACTACTGTGTTTTATGGTGAGAGAACAGAAATCATGGTAGGAGAAAGTGAGAGGTCTTTTTTTAAATAAATATTAAATAAAAAACACTAATTTTAACTAAAATACTTGTCCTTTAAAAGGACAAACATTTTTCCCATAAAATAAATAACAAAAAAGCTGAACATCCCATTCTTATAAAATTCCATCCATAAAATGAATCCCGGTCTTTCTTCTACCACCTTGAACAAGCAAAACCAGTCACTTGACTCATGTCACCTAGTTAAGTAAAACTTTGACATCAAAATATATCAAAAAACCAAGGGGTGGGGGGGAATCCTGCTGCTCTAGTTGCCAGGACTGAAATCAAATATTGTCCAAATTTGTCAAAACCTAACAGAATTAGACAAAATCTTATGACATAGCATATGGTTATGTGGTATTCAATAACTGAGCTACTACCAATATAAATGTCCTATAAATTGAACTATACTCACTCTGACAAAGAAGTATGAAGGAGTGAATTGAGCTTTTTCCCAAATCCAGGAATAGGGCCAGATTGCACATCCTCTTCCAATTGACACCATTCCTGAGTGGTAGGTGAAAGCAATTTTCACACCATTAGTAATTAAGAACGTCAAAATATGTTATAGGATTATACTGAAAGAAATGTTAATACCTCATGTGCAACAAAAGAGGCATATTTCTCATTGGCAATTTCTTCACATCGTACAGTAGCAACCATAACCTACAATTGGGTTGACCCTTGAATGGTTCAAAAAAATTCATAACATGTAAACAAAAGCAGCACCATCACAGCATGTATATTACCTTATGTGCAGGAAGGTCAAGGTCTTTGTTCTCCTTAATGACTTTCCATATTTGTTGAGAACTAAAAGAAAAGCCAGAAGCAGGAACTACTCCACGCCGATCCCCTGCAAGCCCACCAGGAGCGATAGAATGATAGAATCGTTGCCTCAAGCTGGCAACCTACATTTAAAAATAAACCAGATTAGAAAATATATGCAAATTAGAGAATAAGAAATATTCATTAAACCAAAGATATCCGTTTTCCAATATGAAAGCCAAATTAATACAATATATACACAGATTAAGACGTAACAGTACTCAGTCACAGATGCAGATATGGAGATGTAAACAACCACAAATCCTGAAAATAGGTCACTTATTACCGTCAGGAAGTAAACCAGAAGGGAACTGGTGCACAATTCATACCTGCTCCTTAAATTGATCTTCCTTTTCTTCATAACTAGAAAGAGCAACGACTTCAACCTGGTCATTTGTTGCCAAGTGCAAACAATTACAGTTAATTTCTAATAAAATTATGCTATACATGTGAACATCAGTAAGATTAGCAATGTCAACGGAATGAAGAACATACATTGAAAAATTCACTTAGTGGGGTTTCTTTGTGGGCCTGTGGTTTAGGAACAGAGTCCCATATCTGCAGAGGAAAAAAGTAAAGCAAGAAAGGTTAGCAAAAATCACATAACAGTTAAATAATACCATATTAAGATGAAAGCACAGCAATACCTTCTGAATATCTTCTCGCAACACAGGTTCTAAATTTTCAAGTGGTGTCTATAAGAGGAAAAGGTTAATCACATCAACAACAAATAAAAATATATAGCATTAAAAATGAATAACTGAAAAACAATTAGACAAAATAATAATAGCTTTTTGCATACACACCCTTGTTTTATCACGTATGACAAATAACAATGTTGTTTTGCGTGGGCTAAACAATCTCATCATGACCTGAAAGCAAAAACAAGCATGCAATTAGATAAATGAAAAGTTTTGAGATTTAAGATAAATGCTTGTAGTCAATAGGCCAACAAAACTTGCCTGAAATACAGTTTTCAAAAGCGGCTTATTTGCAGCTTGCTCACGGCCAATGTCATGGCACCACCTTTACAAGCATTGCAGAAGGATGAAAAATTAGTTGCATAAAGAAAGAAGATTCAACTGGAAAAACACTCAAACAAGAAGCAGCTAGACAGACTTAAAACTTTAGGAAATTAGTTAGTATTAACGATGTCTCAATAAAGAAGTGGGGGAAAAACTCACATGTTTATTAGCACTATATCTGAGACAGCAAGAGCAAATAGAGCACTCTGCTTTTCGAATGCAGTATCATCCTGAGAGAAAGACAATTTCAGTATACAATGAGACAGACAAAGGCAGAACTACCCATCTCTCATCCTTTGTTCTAATTTTTGACATTGACAGCAAATTTGCTGGTTTAAATAATCAGAAGTATTACTATTAACAGTAAAAATTCTTAACCCATCATAGAGCAAATGCAGGATTATAATTATTATGGAACTCCTTGATCTTGTTACAAAAATTAAGAACCCACATAAAATTCAGAAATAGAGAGAGATAACTGAACCTTTTATTTAACATTTGCCATTAAAAAAAGAAAAAATAAAAGAACATGAATTTGCCAGTAAAAAAGGGAAAAAAGAAATAGGTGTTATAACTTATAACTTATAAGTTTTGAATAATGGAATTTAGGAACTCTGCAAATTCTTATGTTCCTAGGGGCTAGAAACACATTGGCATCGATGCATTACCAATTATAAAATGCAAATGCAAATGGTAATTGGATATTGGCAATAGACTCTGACTCATGATCAATGTCAATATCAAAGTAAGTTAAGGTATAACAAACGAAGAAAACACCTCTCCACGTTCTCTTCCATCTGTACCCTCCAAATCCATCACAAGTGTACAAGGCTCTATGCCAGCACATCTAGCCATCCAGATTCCTTTCGTTGTTTGAGACCTGAAAACAAGCAAATAACATCAGGCCACCACCCTGTAAGTTGAACAAGGTTTATGTGATATGTCAGAACTGCAAGAACATACCTTCCCTTGAAAGCATCCATCTCTACAAAGTTGGTACGAAACAAATTATTTAATAGCGTGCTTTTGCCTGCCCACAGCAAAGAAAAGAACAAATTAGATAACATAAAGATCCCTTATCCGGAATTGTCCGTGTCACGATATACTAATAAATTAAAACAAATACAAAAGAATGGATTAAAATTAAACAGAAGAAATAGAAAAAAGAAAAAAAAAAATCATAAGAATTAAGAAAAGGGCTAAAAGAGATTAAAATTATCCGAAATCACCATTTTAGATAGATAATTAAGTCATAAATCTATATCAAATCCCACTAGATGTTATACGTCATTAATCCATAAGGTACAAATTTCGAATTTAACCTTTCCATGAATCTTAAATAACAATCACCTCCAGCATTCAGTGTCAAGTAAAATATCTTAATTACATAAAGATCCTCAAGTGAAAAGACTGGCAAAAGCAATCATAAGATCCAATCAGCTTATGAAGGGAAGAAATAACAATGAGATTATGAAGTCAAGAAAGCATACCACTACTTTGTGGACCCATAATAGATACTACCGCATATGAAAGCCCACATTCACCCAATTTCACCTCCTTCATAAAGTTTTCAATCCCAGAAATATTGAACGTACCATCTCCATCAATAAGCTGAGTTGAACAACACTTCTCACTAATTGCTGGATAAGCAGACACACAATATTAGTTGGGAGGAAAAAACTAGACCCAAAAGTGTTCTATAAATTTCAAGTGAGGCACTCATTGAGATCCACAAGCAAAACAGGAATCATAGGAGTGATTGCAGCATTGTACTGGGGCATATGAATAGTGAGAAAAACACTCAATCAGGAAAATCGAAATTCCAGTTGATCATCCAGCCCAGGTAAGAAAATTGCTTTCCATGCTCAGGAAACAAAATAAAAGTAAAAGATCTCAATGCTTGTTCGTTGGTTCCACACTCCATTCAGCAACTCAAGCCCAATACTTCCACTAGCATTGAAATTGGCATTACCATAGAATAATGAGATTAACCAACCTTCTAATTGGCATTCTCTTCTTAACTTTTCTTTTTTCCCTTTTAACAATAAAACATAAAGCAAAATTCTAAACCTTGTCCGGTACCCAATAATTAAGTCACACAAAACATAAATTATCGATCAAGTTGTCAACATTAATCACATCACCAATTCTTATAAATCCGAAACAGATTTTCACTCGAAACTGAAAATATTAATAATAATAAATAGAAACAACAGTTAAAAAAAACAAGCCAAAAACAAAAACGCATGCCAAGTGTAATTGGCAGTTTCCGTTAATAACCAGAAATCATCTTGTATAAGAGATTGAAAGTTGAAGGGAATTAGAATACGAAATCAATAACTGAAAGAATAAAGTGTTGATCAGAAAAATTGAAAAAAAATACAAAATGCATGAATCAGATCGATGAGGATGAAAATTGAATTCGAATTGAAAGCGTACCCATTAGCGTGGAATTGGAAATGGTTGTTGAGCAATGCGGTAAGGAAAGGAAGATCGAAAGAGAAAAGAGAGAACCAAGGGCCGATCTCAGACTCGGACTCACAAGGGGATTTTAGCAACGCGCACATACACTTGATTCCAAAATATGTTTTTCCACTTTCTTTCTTTTTTCCTATTTTCTTTTTTGGAAATAACCTTTTGAATAATATTTTTCCCTTTTTCTAATTTTCACTCCATTCAATTAAAATAGGGTTTTATTAATCTCCTTTTGCATAAGATAATTATCTTATGTTGTAGAGAGAAAATACGTGGGTCCCACCATTGTAAGAAAAAAGAAAAAAGTGGGGTGCGGAAATCGAAGTGAGAGAAAATGAGATAAGATGTCTCATGTGAAATGAGAGTAATATTTCCCATTAAAATAACTATCAAATTCATTTATTTTTTTAGATATATTTCTATCGCTTTATAGATTAATCAACTAATCCAATCGGACAGAATTAAGGGTTGGTAAAATCTTCATGAATGTCAAAATAGGTTGTCACACGCGAGTCGATACAAAAATTCTTGTTTGAATTGGCCCGTAAAAGAAATTTGTGTGATGTTTTTGTTGAAAAAAAAAATAACCCGCGAAAAATTTATGTCATGTGTCCCGTACATGTCGTGTCATGTCAAATTTATGTTGACCCGTATTCTTTTAATTATTTTTTAATTTCTTAAATTATTAAAAAGTTGGACCCATTTTTTTAACTTTTTTTGGTCAATTATTCTTTTGACTCATAATTTGTGTGCCATTTGTGTGTCATGTTCGTATTAAAGATTTTGATATGAATAAAAATTTATATTATATTCATGTTACGCGTATTTGTATCGTGTCAATATTGTGTTGTGACGAGCTTGTTTTGACACCCTTATTTCTACCATTCAAAACTCAAATTTGATACTAGTGATTATGTCGAAATAACACCTTATCAATTAGATCAACTCAAAACAAGAATATGTTTTTGATTTTTCATAAACCTAAGTTTAAATTTTTCCTTTCGAAAATTTCTTTTGTACAAATGCATCGAGATTAGAGTTAATGAAAAAAAAAACCTAAAGTAAGGCCTTGTGTATGAGATAGTATCTGACCAATCGGTGTGTTTTGATTTTGGCATAATTCATTGTTTGAATTTCCAGCATTCACTCTAATGCAAAGAGCTTTTAGAGACTTTTAAACCTTGACTCCATTGAGAAAAGTTATTCATACTTTTATAATTTTAAAAAATAATAAATTATAAAATTTCAGAAAATAAAAAATATTATTGAAAAATGAAATTAAAAAGTTATGAATTAAAAGAGCTGTATAAAAACAAAATTGAATAATATAAGTAGAAAATTATCAGTTGAAAACCCTCAAAATCGTGGGAAGGTGGCGGTGCAGAGTGGGAGCCCACCCAATTGCCGTCCATGACTCATTTGGTTTCAGTTTTTTGTGCCTTTCGGCAACTTTAAGAGCGCGTGCAATTCCTCTCTCATTGTTTATCAATACAATACTTGTGTTGTTTGCAAATTTGCAATTGCTGCTTTCGGTCCTCGTGTCTTTGTGGATCCCACATCCATTCACTATTCCAAACATACATTCCTTTTCTTTATATTATATCACAATTAAAAAATAAAAATCTCACCTGTAATATTGCCTAGTAATGAATTCTTGGCAACATGACGGAGAAGAAAGAGTTTATTTATCTTTTCCAGTGATTTTATAGTTTGAAAATTTTACAAAAAAAAGAAAAATGAATTATTAATGGTGTAAAACTTTACCACTGTCGGAGAAACAATGTTTTATAAAGACGATTAATCAAAATTAATAGTTAGATTTATAGATAATTTTAGAATATCCAAAATATGCATATACAAAACTCTTAACAGAGTATCTTGTTTAGAATTCATAGCGATGAATTACAAAAATTTGAACATATAATGTATATTTTACTGAACAAGAGAAATGACTTATTCATACAATTTTATAAATAATCGTAATAAGTTCACCCACCACAAACTCATCCACATTAATCAGTTGATGTTGACTAATTAGAGTTTGTATGTCATATTTATAAACTTATTAATATATTTTATAAATACAATTAATTAATATCTCATATTAATATAATATAAAAAAATATTACAATTAACATAAGCCAACTTGAAAAAATATTTTATTTCAATACAGTTTTATTTAATTCATTTTTTTGTATTTAATTTCTTTTGTGATTTTATAATACAAAATTTTCATTCCGCGTGCGAAAACTTCACTGATATATATGTGAGAGAAATAATGCTCTATGTACGCTGGTGCTAACAATAAAATTTGAAAAACAAAATTTTCTATCATTTTATTAAGAATAAACATAGTTTATTACATCCTTAAAAAGTATACAAAAACTCATCCGTCAATAATAATTCATATTAAATTTGTAAGCTTATGGTATATTTTTAGACTTGTATGGTATTGTATTTGGTTTTGATTATTTTTAAGAAAAAATGATTTGTTTTTAAAAAAAATTAAAGATATTTTAAAAATAGAAAATAATTAAAACATAATGAAATGCTAATTTTTTTTTTTTGTGGAAATAATAGGAAATTAAAACAAAAACACAACAAAAAGAAACTAGGCACAAAGCCTAGACCAGTGAACACCTATAGTGTCACCATACAGACTATCAATACAACCTGACGGTGGACAATCAAATTCCTGAATTACCCAAGAGAAACCATAAGAGTAAGAGGCTAGAAAGTCCGCTACTCTATTTCCTTCACGGTGAATGTGAGACATATAAATCTGCCAATCTCGCTGCATCAAATTTCGAATACAATTCACCAAATTAGCCGCAGGGTAATCATGGTGGCACCCATTTGTAATGAGCTGTCGAGCTGAAAGAGAATCTCCTTCGAGCCAAACTTGCCTAAAACCTCTATCCCAAGCTAGCTCCAAACCAACCAAGCAAGCCCATAACTCAGCATGCAAAACTGTACCTGAGCCTAAATTTTTACAGAATCCGACGATCCAAGTTCCTGAGGCATCGCGAAAAACTCCTTGATGAGTGAGACTATTAGGTTTGAATTCATGACCTTACATAATGAAATGCTAATCTTAATGCATAAGGAGTTAGCTGGATTGTTCTCTTAAAAAAATACTTGATGAGTGAGACTATTAGGTTTGAATTCATGACCAAAGCAAATTTTCAAGTATTAAGTTGACAACTGAAGTACCTTCAGATGTTAGGTTTTTAAATAAATAAATGTGATACCGGATTTGGGCCTCGATCAGTCCCCTTAACACTAACAACCTAACTAGGGAAATTAGGAGGAAACCAATAGAGATGTTCATCAATCGATTCAAATAGCAATGACCAAATCAAAAAATCGATAATCGAATTAACCGAAAACTGAAAAAAATCGCATATTTTATTTGATTGAATCGATTTTTGATTTGGTTGGTGAAAACTTATCCAATTCAAACCGATGTAATGTATTATGTATTTATTATTTTCAAAAAATGATGACTTAAAATCTTATTATTTTGTGGACTTTGAAATCTTGGATGTCATTGATAACAAACTATCTTATTTTAGTTTTTTATTGTCTATTAATTTATTTTAACTCTTTATGAGTTTTAAGACTTGTTTTTGTTTGAAGACTTTAATTTTTTAGTGATTTGTAACTTTGAAAGTTTTTATTTTTATATAGCTAATGATTTATATAACTTAAATTTTTGATTTTTCAAATAATCGAAAACTGATCCCATCTAAGTCGAATAAAATTGAATTGGTTCGAATTTTTTAAATTCAAACCAAAGATATAATTATATAATCAAATCAAAAAATTTAGATCAAATAATTTTTGTTTCAAAATCAATTCCATTCAAACCGCTAGCAATCAATCATTCTCTTAGTACTCTGATTCTCTCAATTTTCTTAAAATCAAACCTCACGTATGATATTATGATTGGACTCAAATTGCTATCCTTAATTTAATTAAAAATCTCTGCCGATTAAAAGAGATAAATAATTTTGTTTACTTTTTTATTTCACATTTTTATTGAATGGATGTCATTAAAATCAGACAGAGAAGATCGAGAATTTAAATCCACTTACGACCATTTTAACGTACATTGAGATTTAATTGAGTAATCATGACTCTTGCATTTCAAAAAGTAGATGAATTTGACTATTTATTATATATTACTTATGGTATACTCCTAACACAAATTATGTAACACATTAATTATCATTATAAACATTGCTTGCAAGGTCAACAAAAAATGATGAGTATTTCCGAAAAAAAAAACTGGTAAATAAATATTTTGAACTCAAATAATTTAACTAATAACTCATTATTAACTTTCTAAATATAATATGCTAACTTTTACTTATATAAATAATATATATATATATATATATGGTAAAGCAGATTTACAGTGATTGTAGGTAAGAATTTGTGCAGTCAAAAAATTATAACTATCTACTACGTGTAGTACATAGTTATAATATTAATTTTTTTTTTAAATATAATTATGTACTACAGGTAGTACATACTTATGATATTAAAACTGTTTTTTTTTTCTCTTCTCATTAACTTTTCAGATGATGTAGGAAAAAAAATAACTTTAATATTATAACTATGTACTACTGATAGTACATAGTCATATTTCTAAAAAAATGGTTTTAATATTATAACTATCTAGTACTCGTAATACATAGTTATAATTTTTTTTGACCGCAACAAACCTTATATACATAACATTATAATTCATTTTCTCATATATATATATATGGAAAATGTTCAGCCACAGGAAAGAGAAGTTATCTGGTGCAGTCACATGCTTTTTAGGATACGGAACAATATTATGAAAAACATGTGTTAGCTGGAAATAACTTCTCTCCAACAACATGAGATTAATAGAACCTTATAATATATATATATATATATATATATATATATATATATATATATATATATAGGGAAAATATACTCTTATGTTGTAGGAGAGAACTACACATACATCGATTTTCGTGTTATTTTTTTATTTCTTTTTTCTTTTTCTATAATAGGTGGGTCCCACACATGATTATCTCTATTGCATGAGAGAGTTCT